TGAGTTAATCTATCTGCTTGTTCGTCTTATTATATTAAGCTATTTCTTTTTCCTTACTTTTCACTTCATATTATATATGAAGTGAAGTCAATCATTGTACTTATTCGTTCTCTTATATACATGTATTACTTTTACCTCACACACAGTTTCATAGTGAACATGAAACCAACATAATATTATAATGGCTATTATTCAAGATGTCACAACCACATTCATTACCACTAAAACAACACAATAGACAAAACAAATTCAAATCATCAAACAAACTTCCGAGACAAAAGACTAATGTCATGTGTCTCCTCCTTCTTATCCCTCCAGCTGTTCATGACAATACGTTCCGTTGTTTTCTTTTTCCTGTTTTTCTTCTGTGTATATTGTCATATTTTAACATCAATAAAAAGCTTTGATTCCAAAAAAAAAAGGTTTAATTATCATTATTATCGCCATTACAATTATAAGTATTATAGGCATAATTGTGACTGTATATGTCTTGCCTATTGAACTCTGATAGATATGAAAAAAAGCCAAGTAAAAAAACATTGTAAATGAATTGTAGGTAATAGTGTTTCTTGAAATGTTTTATTTATAAATAAAGAACACTGTCAGATTTGGCGGAACTACTTGAATTAAAGCAACCTTTATATACATATATCATTTTGTAGAGTGGCTCACAGACAGTCGAATGATATATAAGGATCATATTCTGATCAAACTTCGACTTCATGAAGTTATTTATACTGCTTGATGGACACTGAACAATCTTATAGCACTTGTGGAGGTCTTAACACAACAGCATATCCGTAAATGACCCTGTGCCAGTTTTTTTTTCTAAAACTCATATATTTAAATCTTAATGTTGGGAAGATGTCGATGAATAGTAGATACTTTCATTCAAACTCAATTTTAGCAAATCATTGGAGATTTAAAAGAAAAGAAATTCATTTCATTTTATTCATATGTTAATTTTTTCTCATTTGGAATATTTTCTTTTAACAAATCAAATGTAAAAAACAGAAATATCATTATTGTTAAAACAAAAGCATTTACAATTGCCATAAGATTTTCTTCAATCTGAACAAGAGCATGATTACAAACTGATAATGCATCTTCTTATACATATAGTAATCGTTCTCTAATTAAATTAAAAAACATTAAAGTATATGTAACAAAATCTATTGAATAAACCTATATCGGAAATAATGATAAATAACAAAATAAAAATATACATGGAATAAGTATTAAAAATGTTTTAAATATAGTATCATAAGTCAATGGCTATGTTATATATGACCATATTTCAGAGACGTTTATCACGGCTAAAAGTCTTTCGATATTTTACTGCGGTCATAAAAAGAAAGGCTTTTTCAGTATCATTGTGACAGTATTCAAAAAGTGTTTGAAACATTAATGTCATCATTGTAATAGATCAACACTGCTGTCACTATTTCATAAGATTCATATAGACTCAGAGTGTTACATTATTTTTATCGAGATTGCTAATAGTAATGATTTAAACACAGCAGAAGGTGTAGTAACTGCTATTCAAAGAACTTATAAGACGTATCTACCGAGGTGACTCGATCAAATTCTTACTCTTTATTAATTTTAAAGTGATTTTTATTGTATAGTTTGTTTGATTTTACGATATTTCATTTTCATTCTAATAGCGCACATAGTTCTCTATTCAATAATTTTTTTTCAGTAGAAAACACAGTTTTTGTTAGTTCGTATTAGTATATAACTCTATATACTTTTCAGATATCTGTTTCTTAATAATGAATTTAATGAAGAAATAAATATATAACACATAGACAAAACGGAAACTACTAATTATCAGAAATCAAAACGAATAAAAAAAAAACCTTTATGTGATTCGATTCGATTCATGATTATAGAAAAAGCACATACTCTTATTTTCGTACGCATTATCTATTAATTATTTTCTAATGTTCTTTTGTAAACTATCTACTTATTGTTTTATTTCACTATTCACATCATTGTATTTTTGCAGTTAATCTATTCAAATATATTCAATGATCGTTTAGTTGTTTAAAAGAAAATGTACAATAAAAAGTCGATAATATGCAATAAAATTGCTTATGAAAGTTCGATATTAGTGAACCCGAGAACAAAGATAGAATTGACTGTTGTAAGATCAAAATTTTACGCACGGGTGCATGCATCAAAATTGGATAAACGAAAAGCGATCGCTACGAAAATTAATCAAATATATATTAATCATAAAAGGATAATAGATGTTTCCACTAATGTAAACAGAAAAAGTTTAAACAAATGCAACAGAAAATATATGCGAAAATCATCTGGCAATCTTGAGATTATCAAAAGTATACATTTTTTTTCTTATATCTATACATCGGTAAAATTTAAAATATCTTTTTATTATTAAATTTTTCATATCAAATCATTGTTCTAAGATAGTAAATAGACCGCTATCGAAAACGTTTTGCAACTATCAGAAATATTTAAACTATGATTTACACATCTACGTTATTGATTGTACATTCGGAAGTAAGACTTTCTAGAAGAATAATACGAACTTATGAGTATTAAGTCAATTCAATAATTAGTGTCAATTACACATGAACGCCTAAAAGTTCGAGCGTTTGTTCTTTTATTCCGTAGTTCTCGGCTATTTTCATAGCAAATAATTTTTGTGCAATCTTCTTTTGGCATAATCGCGCTCAGCTCTTATTTAGTGACTACTCAAATACGATTAGGAGAATGGTCGTTCAGTAAAAGACCACTCAATGATATTTCGCGTTTCATCTGACTTTTTTTTTATGTAGAATAACTGCTGATTTCTATTTTGTTTATTTATGAAAAAGGAATTGAATATAATTCAACTTGTCCTTTGTTTTTTGATCGTTTTTTTCCAATGACTTTGTAATTCATAGAATAAACTGAAGAAAGACATACTCATTCTATTCTATTCGATACGGCAAAATTTATAGTCGATTCGGTGTTAATCTCTGTTAGTTATTAAAATACAACTGATATGTCGATCAGCACTACTTTTCTAAACAGTTATCTTGGGCCAGATAGCAATTCTACTAAATCTAACTATAATGTGTGTTATTATTCTCTTTTCTCATATTCTTATTTTATTTTAAGTGTGTATTGTTTTTCTTTACTATACAGAACGAGCAGTTTCATAATATTTCTCATTGTACGTCGAGTGATTCGACTAGTATAACTTGACTTTAATTTGTTAGAAACAAATCATGAAATATAGAGAAATCGTCCGCTATGCATTTACACTTTTATTTTTTGTTTCCTACGAAAATTCACATATTTTCTTCCGTTTTTCTTTCGATTCTTCACTATTTGGTAAGTCTTAAGTAGAATGACTAATCAATAAACATAAAGAACGAAACAAGTATGTGAACTGAAGAAACGAGGTTAAACTTCTTCTCTTTGTGATTTGTGCAACAAAAACATATCATGCACTCGTAAAAACATAACTTCTTTTTCTCAATTTTAGATCCTAAATTTTATCGCTACTATACACAAATATTTATTTCTTTACTTCCATAGTTCTCTCCCAGTAGGATCATGTAAATACGCATAGTGTTCATCTGCCATTAATTTGTTTAACCTCGTCAAAATAATTATTTCCTGAGCCTTGCAAAAGTCTTTGCTTAAAGCCTACAAAAGCATTTATCACTAAGATCACATCTATATTTATATACGGTACATTTCTCGAACCGTTCTTCTTCTTCTTCTTAGTTTCTTAGAATACTTATATCTCAAATCGAAAAGATCTCTGATCGAAATCAACACAAATATCCAATAGTAGAATAATATGTATTTATATGTTTAATTTATTAAACTATTGTGTGTTTTATCTTTTTAGATTCTCTATTTGTTAAATTGAAAAAAATCTTTGATCAAAATCTTCACGTGCGTTCATCAGTATGATCAAACGTATATGTTTTATTCATTAAACTATTGTTTTCTTTACTTTCGTAGATTCTTCATTTGTCAAATTGAAAAAATCTTTGATCAAAATCTTCACGTGCGTTCATCAGTAGGATCACATTTTATTTATATGTTTAATTTATTAAACTATTGTATGTTTTACCTTCTTAGATTCTTCATTTGTTAAATTGAAAAAAATCTTTGATCAAAATCTTCAGGTGGGTTCATCAATATAATCTGGAGTGGGGTGGGTGTGGGTGTGGGTGTCGGTGTGGGTGTGAGTGGATGTGGATGTGGGTGTGGATGTGGGTGTGGATGTGAGTATGGGTATGAGGAAGAGAAAGACTCCCGCATCCACACCCACACCCACCCACACACCCCACACCCTACACCCACAGACAATGATATTGATTCACTATTAGTTGTGGTAATTCTTTTAATTGAATCTGCCAGAATATTCATTGAACAGTAAACATAATTTATATTATATTTATCTTTGCATATTTTATTTCAAATGTTTAAAACTTGATTAGTCTTCTTTTTTGTAAGGGCACATATACAGGGTGGCCCAAAAGTCATGTTACCCAAAAAAAATTGAATATCTCCCTTACGTCTAGAGCAAAGAAGCTGGTTTTTTTTATCAATGATAGAGGCATCTTCAAGCGCTATATCTATATGAACAAGGTCAGGAATAACCTATGTTAAGTAGCACTAATGAACTGAACAAAGGAAATTTTATTTTTCCACAAAGAGAAAAAAACAATTTACAATAGAGAAAGGACAGTTTTCTCAGATAAAGCGTGATAAACGAAACGGGCTTGCGAATAACACGTGTTGTGTATTCTTATATCTCTTTTGTCTGCGTTTTTCTTTCTGTTCCATTATACTTCACGTTAAAACTACACTCCATATAAGTCTTTTTTCCGGTATTGTTGGTCATATTCAGTTATTGTCTCTGTCTACGTGTTTTGTATATTCTCGGTAAGACATGTTCTTCTTTGTTTACATTTTCCATTGTATACTCAGTTCGTAACTCTTACTTCAAGCACATGTGTTTGTAGATGCCGAGAACTCTGACAAAAGTACAAAGAATTTTTGTCTTCAAACAATGGTGGATATCAGGAAAAATATCACTAACAGCAAATGCGGCTTTTCGAAATGAATTTCCTGGCGAAAAAGTTCCAACTCGTCAAACAATGTCTCGACTAGCAAAAAAATTTGATGAGACAGGTTCTATCGAAGATGAACCACGAAATGGCCGACCAATAACAGTTAGGACAGAAGAAAATAGGCAACGTGTTTCTCAAACTTTTCTTTTGAATCCACGAACATCACAAAGGCATGCATCAGATGATCTTAATATCTCACGCACAAGTTTACAACGTCTTATGAAAGGTCTAAATTTAAAACCATACAAACCAAGATTATTACAAGCCTTAAATAAAGATGATCCTGATCGGCGACTCGAATTTTGTGAATGGATCTTAGATTCAACTCAAGATGATCAAACTCTATTGGATCAAATTCTATGAATAGACGAAGCTACGTTCAAAACAAATGGTCGTGTCAACAGACATAATTGCGTTTATTGGAGTGATACAAATCCATACTTTATCATCGAACAAGAGCTCAATGTACCACAAGTTATTGTTTGGGGAGGAATATGGTCAAACGGGGTTATAGAACCGTTTTTTTTTGAAGGTAATGTCACATCAGAAAAGTACCTTCAGATGTTGAAGGACAATATAATACCACAACTTCGAGAACATTCAGCCTTTCAAACAATGATCTGGCAGCAAGACGGTGCACCACCTCACTATGGTCAAATTGTGCGAGATTATTTAGATGATACATTTTTACAATGGATTGGTCGTCGAGGAACTGTTGAATGGCCACCACGGTCTCCGGATCTTACTCCATGTGATTTCTCACAATGGGGAATGATAAAAGATCGTGTCTATGCTCAACAACCTCGTGATGTGAATCATTTAAAATTATTAATTGAGCTAGAATTTACATCGTTCAATAATAACATCGAATTATGCCAAGCAATCTGTTGTTCTGTAGCAGATCGTTGTTACATGTGTATCAATACAGAAGGCAAA